GGGCGGGAGACCCCCCGGTGCTCCCGGGACCCCGGGCTGGAGAGTTGTCACCACCTTCTGCTGCCTGGGGGGGCTCTGGGGGGACCTCGGCTCCCCTGGGGGCTCTTCTGCAGCCACAGAACCTGCAGGGACCTCCCCTGGGTGGGGCCTCCAGGGGTTCCAGGAGCTTTGGGATCATCCTGGGAGCCAGTGGGACACACTGGGATCATCCTGGGAGCCACTGGGACACACTGGGATCATCCTGAGATCGGACTGGGAGAGACTGGGCCACATGGGGATCATCCTGAGATGGGACTGGAAGAAACTGGGCCACACTGGGATCATTCTGAGATCATACTGGGAGAGACTGGGCCACACTGGGATCATCCTGAGATCGGACTGGGAGAGACTGGGCCACACTGGGATCATCCTGAGATCAGACTGGGAGAGACTGGGACACACTGGGATCCTGCTGGGAGTGTCTGTAACCATACTGGGGGTGACTGGGACCACACTGGGGCCAACTGGGACTATGCTGGGAGAGACTGGGGTCATACTGGGACTGCTTGGGACTAGACTAGGAGCACCTGTGTGCAACTGGGATCCCAGTGGGAGGAACAGGGAGACACTGGAACCATGCTGGGGACAGCTGGGGTCATACTGGGATCACACTGGGAGTAGCTGGGGGAGACTGGGATCATACTGGGAGTGACAAGGAGCAGGCTGGGGGCAATTGGGACCAGGTTGGAACCATGCTGGGGGCACTGAAACCACAACTGGGGCAACTGGGATCACACTTTGGGCTACTGGGAGCAACTCAGAGAAACGGGGACCATGCTGGAAGCAACTGGGAGTAACTGGGAAGGACTGGGTGCATCCTGCAGCCACCTGGGCCATCCTGGGACTGGCTGTAACCATACTGGGAATGACTGGGATCAACTGAGGAGAAACTGGGACCATGCCTGGGACCACTGGCAGCAAGAGGCAGTGACTGGGTCTATACTGGGGGCAACTGGGTGTGACTGACAACCTGCTGGGAGAGACTGGGATCATACTGGCAGCAACTGGGACTATGCCAGGGGCAACTGGGAGCACACTTGGAGGAACAGGAAGCAAATGGGACCATGCTGGGGGCAACTGGGATCATACTGAGAGGGACTGGGATCACACTGGCAGGGACAAAGAGCAGGCTGGGGGCAACTGGGACCATGGTGGGGGCAACTGGGACAGACTGGGAGCAACTGAAACAGAGCTCGAGGTGACTGGGTCAAACTGGGAGTCACTGGGACCACACTGAGGGTGACTGGGAGTGGCTGTGAGCAACTGGGATCATGCTGGAAGTAACTGGGAGTGACTGGGACCATGCTGGGGGAGACTGGGATCATACTGGGAGTGACTGGAACCAGTGACTGCAATAATACTGGGAGTATCTGGGAGTGACTGGCATCATAGTGGGGCTGAGTGGGAGCAATTGGGACCATGCTGGGAGCAAATGGCATCATACTGGACGTGACTGGTTTCATACTGGGAGCAAGTGGAACCACGCTGGAGGGAACTGGGATCATACTGGGAGAGACTGGAAGGAACTGGCAGGATACTGGGTTCATTTTGGGAATGGCAGGAAGTGACTGGGATCATACTGGAGGGGACTGGGACCATACTGGGAGCAACTGGGATTACAGTGGGTGTGAATGGAACCTTACTGAGGGTTACTGGGAGCCTCTTGGCATATGCTGGGAGCAAACTGGCATCAACTGGAAGATACTGGAACCACAGCTGGGGCAGCTGGAATCATACTGGGAGAAACTGGGCCCATACTGGGAGTCTCTGGAACCATACTGGGGGTGAGTGGGACCACACTGGCAGCAACTGGGATCAACTGGGACTGACTGGGTCTACACTGGGGGCAACTGGGAGTGTCTGGCACCCTGCTGAGGGAGACTGGGATCATACTGGACTCACACTGGGAGTTAGCGGCACTACACTGGGGCTAACTGGGACCATGTTGAGGGCAAGTGGGATATAGTGGGATATAAAAGGGCTCATCCTGGAGGTGACTGGACTCATACTGGGAGTTACTGGGCTCTGGGAAGCTCAGGATGGGCAGGGCAACCCCCCCCTCCCGCTGCTCTGCATTCCCAAAATCCTTGTTCCCAGTTCCCACTCTGGCCCTGATCAGCAGATCTGCTCCAGGATCCCATTCCCTGGGGGCACTTCCCTGCCCTCTCCCCGCCTTCCTGCTGCTGGAAATCAGCACTTTGGAGCCTCATCCCATTGTTTGCTCCTGCTCTGCCCTATTATTATTGGGATCCCCTTGCACCCCTTTTTCCGGGCACTGGGACCCCCTGCCAGGCCATTCCCAGTTTTCTGGCCTACAGACCCCCCTTTCTTTGATTCCAGGACCCCCCTGCCTCCTCTTTC